TATGTTTTTTATAAAAAAAATGCATATGGGGAATAATACACTAGTAAAACAAACAAACTAAACCAAACAAAAACTACTATTACCATGGTTTTTAGGGATTAAAATAACAGTAAATTATTTAGCATTAACAGCATGGTGTTTATGACGGGGTCCCTGGAATCTTTTCAGCCTTGTAAGGGGTCCCCAGACCCAAAAAGCTTGAGAACCCCTGAGATAAAGGATGTTTTTAAGGAGTCRTGTAACTGTTTTCTTGAATGAAAACATTGCTCTCTGTATRTATGTAATGTTGTTGCTCAGCACTTTTAGTCTAACAAAGAAATAAAGTAAAAAAGAAATTGTTGATGTTTKGCCTGGTGATAAAGATTTAACTAAGACTGATTTCCGACACTATGTTCTCATATGCAGTCTCGTCCGGTGGGTCAGTGATCAGTCCTTGTCTTATAAATATGTTCAGCTGAAAGCTTCTCTTTATTTCATCGTACAGAATTGTGATGTCTAATAAAAAGTAGGATTGTTCTTCCTCAAGTTGCTCTTGGGCCTCTTCATCGTGCACATTCAACTTTGCATCASTAGGTGACGTTGTACAACTGTGGGTCCAATGACTTGAGAAAAAAACCTCTAATCAGTCTCCTCTTCTTATCCACAGCTACAGTAAAAGCCACTTTTATCATTTAAAAGTACTTTAAAATGTAATGTATGTGATTAGGTTTGTAGTATTTGAAGCTAACTTATGATGTGTGTGATTTGTACAGTTTTTTGGGAGTAAATTTTGTTGTGTTTGACTGACATAATCAGTCCCTACTGTGTTTTAAATATTGTTACAATGTCAATCGTTAACTTAACTCAAATGCTTTGSTGAAACCGATTGCACAAATCTATTTAAGTTTTGTAACTCAAACTATTTGAGTTTATTTAATTATGTGATTAGAGTTTAAAGAACACAATTGTGTTAAGGCAGCTCAAATACATAAGTTTATTAACTTTATTAACTCACCCCAAGTCCCAGCCTGACAAAAATCTAAGCATGCACAGACACAATCACAGTCTTTATTATCGCCTCAGACTTTCTTTCAGATGAAACTGAAAGGCTTTTTTAACCTCTGCATAACTAAGCTCACTGGAATTTCACTGTAAAAAAATGGAAGTTCTTTATAAAAAGTAAAAACCTAAAAAAGAAAAGAAAAAAACACATCCCATTTTCTATAATTTGGACAGATTTATTGCATAACAGTAGAGGTTTACAGCAAACAGCCCCTCCCATCTCTCTGCTTCATTAACTTTCCTCCAGGTCAGCAGTCATGCAAAGAACCACAAAAAAAAAAAAATCTGCCAACTGTCAAACAGGATGCAGCATTAAGTGTTGGAAACGGGTTTCTTTTTAAAGATATTCAGCAGCCCCAGATAGACCCAGAAGACAGCAGCTGCAGTAGGTAAGGTTTTTCTGTTTTTATTTAAGGTGCCAGCAGATTATCCTTCAACTTTTACAAWTTTTTTTTGATAAAGATAAAAATATAAACGAAAACGACTTAGTTTTAAATATAAAAAATG